GCAGAACCTTCTCTGTAGCTGCTATAGACCCTTCTCTCCCATTCCTCCCTTCCCTGTACCCACCCCCCCAGGCCTGAGGTTCCCAGAGAATGCCTCCAGGTTCCCAGAGAGAGTATCCCAGACCCACTGGTGGGGGGGCACTCTGGGGGGGGTGCTGCCTCCGGGGCACCCATGTGACTCCCTCGGTGCCTCTCTGAGGCTCAGTTTCCCCATTCTGTAACATGGGGGGAAGTTCTGCCTCTCTCCCGAGGCTGCTGGGAGAATTTTATCCGATGATGGGGCTGGGGGCTGGGGGCTGGGGGCTGGGAGCTTGGCACACCAGTTCCTGAGGACTGGTTTGACTTTGGAGTTCAAGTGCAGGGCGGAGGGCGGGGACTTGATTGGTGGGCAGTGGGGGCCCCGCGGGTGCTGGAAGCAGGGCAGGGTACCAGCTCGGTTCGGGTCGGTTGAGCTTTGTGGAGGATGGAGACGGGGCTGGTGTGGGAAGCTGCAGGTTCAGCCGAGGCTCCTCCGCCCCGTCCTCCTGGGTCCCTGCTCAAGCCGGGAGCTCCTCGCAGCTCTGCTGAGGTTCAGTCGGCTCCGCTCAGGGCCTCACAGCGGACCGGCACAGCTGGGGTTCAAACCCAGGCCCAGATCTTCCATCCAGGGACTTCCGCCTCCAGGTGATCGGTTTGGGGGTGTAATTCCCACGTCAGAAACCCGAGACTCCAAGGGGTTGCTGGCTCTCCCAGAAGGCAGGCCTGTTCCAGCAACCCTCCGCCCGCAGGGGCTGGGGGCCTGGCTGCGCCCACCGGGGGCCGGGCTGGCGCCCCACCTGCGCCCCAGCCTACCCCAGTGCTTGCCAGCTGCTGCGGCTTCTCCCCTCCCGGTGTTGTTTGCGTTTTAATTTCTGTGTTGCAGTTAGAAAATTACCCATAATTACAGCTTCGGAGGGGAACCGTCTCAGGGTACAGGTCTGCCTCGCACTTGGCTGCGGAGGGGTTGTAGGGGCCACTGGCCCCAGCCGCTCCCAAAGCCCCCACTTGGATGAGGAGGCAGGGACTGCTTCCACCTCCTGTGGAGAGGAAAACCACCATCAAGACCCAAACTAGCCTTCCGGTGACCCCTGCAACGTTTTCCTGGGCCCCCACCACGCGGTCCGCACAGAGAGCGGGTCCAGCGGGAGGCGGAGGCTGCCAACAGATAACTTGATGCATTATTTTATCTTAACAATGACAAGTCCAACGAAGGCTAGCGCAGAGCCGGTAATCTAGGGGAGATGGCTAGCGAAGGCGAGGAGGAGGGGGAGGGAGAGGAGGAGGAGGAAGAGGAGGGGAGAGCAGAAGGAACTATTGGGGCCAAAGGCCGAAGGAGGAGCCAGAATAGGCCAGGCCTGGAGCCAGGGAAAGAGCGCTCCAGGCGGCAGGAACAGCCAGTGTAAAGGCCGGGAGGTGAGCGTGTGAAGGGCGGGTCTGAAGAATGAAAGGGCCGGAAAGGAGGGAGTGAGGGGAAGGACGGCCCCTCCTCCAGGCAGCCCTCCTGCCCTACAAGCCGAGCTCGTTTCGCTTCGCGCTCCCCCAGGCACCGCCCCGACCCCAAGGGCCTAGGGTTTGCGAGGCGCGGGTAGTCCCAAAGAGGCCGAGACCCAGCTCAGAGCTGTAGTCCCCGCGCAGCCACATGGGGGCGACCAGAAGCCGGCGAAGGGGTCGCAGATCTGGGATCCAGGCTTAGCCCTCTTGCCTTGCCCTCCCCCCGCTCTCCCCGGGGCCCCTAAATCAATTACCAGGACTGCCCTGGCCCAGGGCCCCTGTCTCCCTGGGCCTCTTCCCGGGACAACCTTCCTGCCTCCTCCATGCCAACCAGATGTACCCGGCAGCCCCATGGAGCTTCTTAAAGTCCTGACACAGACCCCATCCCTCGCAGCTCCACACCTTCCCATGGCTTCGTATGGCTGTTAGAACAAATCCCAGCCCGTACCCGCCGGGAGTGGTCCGGCTTCTCTGCCCCCCTGGCCATCATCTCCCTGCTCCTGCCACACTGCCCTCCTCACTCTGCCTCCAACACCTTAACCGTGTGCCCGCCTCAGGGCATTTGCACTTGCGTGACTGCAGTCTGAATATTCTGCTTCCAGATCTTTCGGATCCACCCCTCCCCTTATTAAAAAAATTTTCCTTTTCCTCCCATGTTTCTCCCTCACATGGGTGGGGGGTTCTTTCTGTGAGTTCTGCTCTTGCAAGGCGTGCGCTCTGGTTGGAAGTGCGCGCGGCTCGGCTTCCAGGACGCCGCGTGAGGCCCAGAGCTCGCTCTTCTCGGACTTTTTCGCCGGCGCGGGCTGTGTTTGGAGATCCGTCCCGGTTGCCATGAGAACCGCGCTCGTCGCTCCCGCCCGCTTCGCCTACCCCTTCGAAGCTCGCGGGGCCGCGGGCGCCTCTGCCTCCTCCCTCCCTCCACCTCCGCCCTCCTCCGGGAGCCGGGCCGACCCTGCTGTCGCTCCGTCCTCCCCACCGGGGACTCCTCCCTCTGCCCAGCACGTGGCACTCCCTGAAATTATCCTACTGATTCGCCGGCTTTTGACTGTCCTCGTTCCCCATCAGACCCTCTGCTCCACAAGCAGTAGCAACGTGTCCCGACTGGGTCCCCAAAGCCGGACACACAACAGGCGCTCGGTGTTTCTGGGGAGGATGAAGACTCACATCAACTCAAGGAACCGCGGCTCAGAGAAGGCGAGGGACCCGCCCAGGGCACATAGAATCCTGGGGAGCATTGGGAGATAAATGGGTGGCGCCTGGGGTAGCGGGAGAAGTGTCTGCAGGGCCGGGGAGTCACAGCTGTCACCAATACGCTGTGTGACTTGGGTTGAGTTACACCCTCTCTGCCTCGATGGGAGTGGGCACTGGAGAGCAGTGGTGGGAGCAGCTACTACCATAAGGGTGTCCTTGACGCCCACCTCCCCCAGTGGCCCCCGAGACGCTAGACAGTCGCCTGCTCGAGGCCCGACGCCAGCGTGCCGGCCGCGTCCCCATTAGCGCGCAGCGCGTGCCCCTCCTCCACGCCAGCCCAGGGCTCAGGAGGCCTGCGGGAGAGGAAGCTGGGGGAGGGGACGACCGGCTGGACAGGAAGTGGGAAGGGCTGGCGTCCCCCCCATCCCCGGCCGGGGCCCCTCGGGATGGAGGCGGGGCTGAGGCCAGCCCGGCCCTTCCTTTCCTCTTCGCCCGTCTCGAACCCCAGCGGCTCCCGACTTCCCGCCAGCCGGAAGGCCTGGGGAAAGGGGGACCTTGTCCAGGGTGGGGGGGTGCGGCCTATAAGACAGAGGCATAATGGGGGGCTGACGACTGCAGGAGGGGGCGCTCACATCAAGACACACACGACACAGGAAACCTGAGCCCACAACCACACAACACAGGTCCCAGGGAGCCAGCAATCCACCCACGCGTGAAGGCACACGCACACACACGCACATTCACACGCTATTGTGCACACACCCTGACGCTGCGTCACTCGGTCCTGCAGAACCGCCACGGACACACCACCACCGCCGCAAAACCAGGGACAGTTACCTGGACAGCGACTGTTCACTGGGTGCCTGCCAACCCCCTCCGCACAGCGACGCACACGTGCACTCACATGGGAACCGCGTGTTTACACACACACTCGCGGTCATGCAGAATAGGTGGGGGCAAACCCCCTGGGGGCAGGAGAAGCGCCCCAGGAAGGGGAATGGGGTACCCACTACCTGCACCGGATTCCTGTAGGGTGCAATTAAAGGCTTCAATGCACCCCGATTACAGTTGGCAACACTGAGGCTGAGAAGCGGAGCGAGCGGGAGTGATTCAGTCAACAAACAGTCGCCGCTAGCACCAACTATTGACACAGGGTGTGACTGTGGGGCAGTGCAGGGTGGCTCCCAGGGTGTGGCCTGAGTACCGCAGGAGCTTCTTGTCTGAGTTGTGTGGCTGTGTGGTGTTTGGCTGCTGGTGTCCACAGGCCGTGCGACTGTGTGACGCTGAGTCATCTGTGGCTCCCTGACTCTCCAGGTCCGTGTGGAGGCCTGGGATGCTGCAACGGTGTGCCCAGGGTGGCCGCGAATAGCTGCGTGGGCTCTTTCCACAGCTGTTGGAAGCTGTAGCATGGCTGTGCCTGTGCGTGTCTCGGCGCGGCTGTGTGCCTATGCGAGCGGTGCTCTGTGGGTTTTGCTGTGACAGCCACTATTTGAGCTGTGTATCCGCTGTGTATGACAACGTGTCCCGGCGCCAGCTGTGTGTGTGGCGGTTCCCACCCGTGCTGTATATGGGTAGCTCTGCGGGGTGATACACCCAGTGTGACTGCCTGTAGCTTAATGGAACTGTCATAGTTGTTCCAATAGCTGGGCGGACTTCTGCGTGCAGTCCTGTGTAGCTGCAACGAAGTGCGTAGCTGGGTTCCTGGGTGTACAATTTGGGTGGCTGGACCTATCTGGGGAGTGTGTGTGTGGCCGGGATCAGCTGAGTCCTGCTGTGTGTCCCCGGTGGCCATCCCCACTCGTGCCCTACGTGTATGTACGCGTCCCCCCCACCCCACCGCGGCAGCACTGCGCGTGCGCGCCCGGCCCACGGTCCCGGCAGCGGGACTCACTCGCGCGCCCGCCATCGCCCCTTTAAGAGCGGCGCCCGCGGGCGGCAGG